ATCCCGCCCAGGACATACAAAATCAGTAAGAATGCATCCTGGGGCTGGGACCAAGAGAGAACATGTTAGATGCCAGGGATGAATCACAGTTAGGATAGCTGATGTATATCTAAGGACAGAGTAAAACAGACTGAAGCTAAAATGCATGTTTAGAAAATTCTTCAGCAAACCAATGTACGCCAGAATATCTTGCTGTCAATTTTGTACAGGTTGTGAGACCACAGGCAATCAAAGTACTAGGGGAGAGAGAGTCACAACTTTGAGTAGTACCGGTCACAGTCAGTGGCCAGGTCTTCACACTCCTTTTATTGTATCAGCAAATAAAGGAATGGAACAGACTGCCTGCACATGTCAAAGCCAGTCATAGGCAAGAACCATTCAAGAAGAGTGCCAAAAAGTGTGGATGAATGTAGCTACAGAAAAGGGAGGGAATGATTTTCTATTTTTTAGGTAACATACGTGTAAATTTTACCTAGTATTTCCTAAGTAATGACCCTCTATTGCGTAGAAGTCTTGCATGACCTCTGTAGTAGATAGATCTCTTTAGTATGATAATAAATGTTATGCTTCATTGTAGAATAATAAGAAAATATTATAACCTTTATCTTATAATAAGAAGTAAAAGGACCCCAATGGGAAAGTAAGTCACTCTGTACTGACTTTTAGGAGGTGGGATTATACTAGTCTCTAACACATATGCTGCTATGTATTGATAATTCTATATAACTGTATTGTGTATACCTGAATAAACTAACTACTTACTTACTTACACAAGCAATAAAAGCCAGGCTCACTCTGTACTGTGGGGTAAGTGCAAGTGAGTGTACTTGAAATTAAGCCCATGCTTGTTTATCATTCGAAAAGTCTGAGAGTATTTAACCCTTTCAGGTTTCGGCCGATCACTAGTTCAGGCTTAACAGCCCCCAGGGATTTTTTTGACGTACGAGTATGCTAAATTCTAGCGCACCTCAAATCTAGTGAGAGAAAGCGGTAGGAGCCTACATATGAAAGAACATGGTTCATGTGGTCAGTGTGCGAGTATAAAAAACAATCCTGCAGCACATAAGTGCGTAATGGAAAAAAAACAAACTTGACCATGATGTTGATTAAAACAGCTACTTGCAGTGTATTTTCCGTATGTATTTATGTTGTGGTTCTAGTTTACCTGGTCTCATTTTATAGAATGGAGACATAGTTACAGTAAATTGAGACATGATTTTTGACTGATTTACAATGAAAAGTACAGTACTTGAAATTTGAGCTCAAAAGTATCAGAAATGTTCGATTTTTACCAAAGTTCAAAAGTAAACAAATCATGCCAAGCGTTCCAATTACACGTCCGACTTGGTGAGTCGAAATATTCTTTCACAAGTGCGCTCGAGTATTATTTATAACCATTTCTACACTAATGCAGTAGACTGCATAACAGTACATAATGATACACCACACAGTAAGAATAAAAAACTTCAAGAGTGAAACCCAAAGAAATATATAGAGGGGCCTGGGGATAGTACTATACGAACAGAGAACTTTTTAATTTAGTGCCAAGGATGTCTTCTTGTTTATTCTGGACCCATTCAGGAAATTGGCATCATTTGAAATTTGTGTGGGTGAAAATTCGAAAATGCTAAATCTGTGACCACTTCATTATGGATATTGAAATAGAGTAGAAATGGTGGTTCTACTTGTACTCTTCCGATAGAAAAAATGGAGTTCTAGCGACCATACGTTATATTTTTGTCGACTAGTACTGCTGAATTGGCTATAAACTAGGGGCTCAAAGAGAGGCATATCGCCGATGCGT